GGCACTCGATTTAGCGGGTCTAGTAAGGACCTGCTAAATGGAATGTTGAGGGCACTCCTGATCAGCGTCAGAACGTGAGGAGTAAGAGAAGTTGATGGGAGTGTTTCCTCCTGTCGACCTCCCACTGTGGAGACTGTACCAAGCTCGGCTAGGTAAGTTGACTCCAGCTACATTATTTACGTAGCTGGAGTTATGTACCTTAAACTGACCTTCCGGGTCTACTATACACCTGTTAGTCCAGGACAAAGGGACACACCTGGCCCATCACACAGACAAATTAACCTGAGGGTCAGATTTTCAAAAGGTTTCAGAACCCAGCACCTCCCCCCCCCCAGAGAATAACTGAGTACTGAATGCAACTCTGACCCCATTTGGGTATGTTGAGTGCTTTAGAAAATCTGTCCCTGAGGGGTTTCTCAGAGAGGAGCACAAGGAATGATAAAACAATGGGGTTATTTTACACTAAAACCATGACTGTGGAGTTTGTGCTTTTTGGCACACGAACTACATTGTCGTTGGCGGACAAACCGGTTTACTTTCAATGCAACGTATTCGCACCCGGATGTCATTCAGCATAAAAGATGGTTCCCCGCTGTTTATGGGAGCAAAATTCCATTCCCTTGGGCCCTAGTCAAGGAATTTCAAAGATGCAGTAGGCAGCAGTATCAGCAAAGACTTTTCAGGGTGACGACTCTGTTCTAAGTTCCCTAACGATGTTGTTGCTACATGCCGTTGTGCCAACCTATTTAAGCAGCACTGCCGTATTTCAGCGCGACTTGACTGATAGTTGCTGAATGTTCTAGGGATCTCTGTGGTGGGGGAAGCAAGGGAGAAACCGACATGCAGGTGCCTGTAGCAGCTCTGTCCTAACATTGCATTGACTCTGTGGACAAAGGCAGCACAGCTGGCACGCTGGAGAACAATCGCTGAACGGGTGAAAGGCCAACCTTCTTCTTTGTACTGTTCTCCAAGCACAGCGTTTTGCATTCATCCAAGACAATTTCCACAATCAGAGAAATAGAATCCTGCACACAGCTGAGTAGAGCTGGTCAATTTTTTTTTCTGTTAGAATTGTTTCATTGTTCAACAGAAAACTGAGTTTTCAACACAAGTTACTTTTTAGGGACAAGAAAAGGAGGGACAACCCCTAATTTTCTGCAACAAGTTTTGATGAAAAAAAATACATGTCACAAATGCACCATTTTTCCCTCACTGGAAACAGAAATATTTTTATTTGGCTATTTACCACGGTGTCTCATGGGAGTGGTCGTGTGGTTTCCTCTTGTCCTCTATTCTTCTTTATGGGCCAAGCTTCCCAGACAGACTTTGTCTCCCATGATTCATCATGGTCATGGTACATCAGAGGAGACAGAACCTGATCAAGGAGTGTGGCCTACAGAAGAGGAGGAGAGAGTGAGGAATTTGAACTACCAGTCCCATTGAATACTACAGCCCCATTTCAGAATCAACATATTTCTGTCTCAGATGATTTCCCCAAATAGCTGAAATTTTCCCTGGGGAAAAACACCCCTCATTTTCTACCCAGTTCTGTAACCATGCACCTCAGAATTTTTTGACACCATAGGGAACTGAGGAAATTCAGAAATGCTTAAGAGGATATATTATACGATTAACTCCTGCTATTGTTCCTAGGAATTGTAATCCTCATGCCTCTTTGAAAATCCCAGTCAAGATTTACAAAAATAACTAGGGATTTGGAGCGCTTCCGTTTTTGGACTCTTAACTCAAGATGCCTTAAATGCTCTTCATTTTCAGAGCTTGGCTGCACTGCATTTTTTGAAAACCAGACCCTTTTCACGTGCTCCAGGATTGTGCATCCAAAACACCTCATTTCACTAGGCAGTTTTGAAAATTGTGGCACAGGTGCATGACTGTCACACCCCATTTGCACAAGTGAATTTGTTATCCTGTGTACTATAGTGACTTCACTTTTTTTTAAAAGTGAGACTTTTTAAGTTTGCTTGAGACTCTAATGGACTAATCAAATACATACACTTACTAGAAACCTGTTACACATTTTATTCATCTGATGGCCAAACACAATTGGATTGGTCAAGCCAGGTGAGTAGGGTGAGGAAATAGATGGCAATACCTGTTATATAGCACTTTCTGCCAGGAGATCCTAAAGTGTTTTACAAAAGTGGGTGGTATCACCACCACCTTTGTACAAGTGGGGGAATTGAGGAACAAAGAAAGTGATTTGCCCAAGGTCACTCGGGCAGTCAGTGGCAGAGCCAGAAACAAAACTCAGACTCCTGAGTCCCAGACAAGTGAATAATCCACTAGGCCACACTATTACCCTTCCCTCTGGTCAATGTTTCTGGGAGCCGAAACCGGCTGGCTGATGGAAGGACAGTTTTCCATGACTGTGTCTCAGACAACTGGACTTGGTTCGGCTCTCTTGGATCTCTCCTTCCCTCCTCAAAACTCATCCTTATGATCTGATTGTCAGCATTACTAGCAGCTTTCCTCCCTCCTCGGCTATCTCACCATTCCTATCCCTCATCTCTTCCCAGATTCAAAAGCCTCTTCCTCTGAACCACTCCAATGTTAGTGACTGTGAAGACCCAGAATAGTGCCCCTATAGGTGACACTTAGAGCCACCATCCTTCCCTTCCCAAATCCCTGAGCTCTGCTGAGCGTAAACTCAGTACAGCTGAGGACTGAGTCTGGGTAAGCCTATAATATTTTCATCCTTCTTAAAGCAATCTGTTCCGGATAAGTGATACTTTTGGGTGCGGGGCTGGCTCTACCGGCATGTATGTGTATTGTGAGCAGTGAAAAGCTAATACCAAACAAATCAGATGTGCGATCGCAGTCAACACGTAAGTTCAGATGCTCATATGAAGTTTATCCAAATTCTGCATGTTTAGAAACCCAGGCTAGGAGTTCCGTTAATCCAGCTGCCCTGTGAGGTATATTTTGTTCCAGTCCGGTAAGAAGAAGCACCAAAAAGCCTTGTTCAAGGGGCGTATGGAAGCCCAGAGGCACTGAACAAGAGAACTATGCAAAAGAAAAACATCCCAAACCTTTAGAAAGCACAAAAAGGTTCCAGTGGGAGATTTGGGCAAACAGTCACGGGGCTGCTGACTTGATCCAAAACTACAGGTTGAACCTCTCTAGTCTGGCACCCAACTGGTGCTGAACCAGAGAATTTGCCGGACCACGGGAGGTCACGATTATGTAGCGGCATGGCCAACACTCCCATTGCTTCGTGGGCTCTTAGAAGACCGTTAGGGATAAATTAGAGCTAAAGAACAGCGCAGAACCCTGAGAGCCAGGACTGGTGGGTGGCTGTAAACAAATGTTATGGGATTTTGGAAAACTTGGCCACACCCATGAAAAGTGGACATCTGACAAACTACGATCACTCCGGACCACGGGTGTTGCCACATCCAAGAGTGCCGGATTAGAGAGGTTCAACCGGTAAATGTACTTGTCCCGAATGATACGGAGAGTTGCCCTGGTTCTTAGCACGTTTGAGCCACGGCTCATTTTGAAGGCCTAGGGCTAAACTTCCCCCACCACATATAAGGGAGCTGCATGCACTTCCAGGGACCCAACTGGTCCCTCAATGTCTTGGGCCAGGGACTGATGGCTCTCTGCAGGACGAGGTTCTGGCTGGCTGTTATGTGGGTGCAGAGCACAAACGAACCTTCCCCATCCTGTGCAGCCCAGGACAATGGAAAGCAGATTTGAATGCCCAATGCACTGGGTCACACTTTCTGTCCCTGCCTGCTTGCTGAGGGTAACAGTTTGCCCCCCAATCAAGAGAGGGCTGGGTGGGTGCTGCCTCCCTCAGCAGATATCCTGTCTTCTCTGCTTGGATTCTCCCTGGGGCTCTCCTCAGAGCACGGCAGCTACACTCTGCCCCCAGGAGGGAACATGCCCACGTGGCACCATGGCATTCCCCATTTGCCTAGGTGCCCCCAGCAGATCAAGGCCCCATTGTGCTAGGCCCTGCACACTCACACGGCAAGAGACAGTTCCTGTGCCAAAGAACTCACGCTCTGAATAAACAAGACTGATGATGTGAGGAAGGGGATGCAGAAGACAACAGAGGAGAAGGGACTTGTCCAAGGTTAACCCTCTGTCCTTACTCTGACAAACCTCCTATGGACTTCAGTAGGGACTCTGCCCGAGGGAAACCTGCATAGGGCTTCAGAGTGTGGCTCCAACATGGGCAGTGCCTGAGGCCATGTCTGCACTCTGCGGAAGATCACCACAATCAATCTTCCGGAGATCGATTTAGATGGTCTAGTTAAGACTCACTAAATCAAACTCAGTTGCTAAATCAAACTCTTGAAGGAGTAAGGGAAGCCAACGGGAACATTTGTTTCCATCAGCTTCCCACTGTGGGATGCTACCAAGCTCAGCTTAAGGGAAGCCGACTCTAGCTACTATTCTCTGTAGGTGGAGCTGCGTATATTAAGTCAAGCTGCTGGGTCCAGTGTAGACCTGGCCATAGGGTTTCGTACCATGCCTACCGCAATGGGATCCTGGCACGGGAGCAGCTGCCATAAAGCAAACCAACAGTAGCAACAATGGCAGAGATTCAAACAGAGCACTGACGTGCCCTGGCAGGTGTTCCGATGGGCAATGAAATCAACGCCAGCTGATCCTCAAAGCCGAAGTGTAAAATTAAAAGTCGGGCTTGCCCGATGCTCTGAGTGGGAAGACGGATGCTAGTTCCCAAGCTCCTCTGATTCATAACAAATTAGTATGCTTTCATTTAATGCGATAAGACGGGCGCTGAAACTGACGTGCAGGTTTAATGTATTTGTTCAACAGAAGTGGCAGACTAATGGAAAACACCACACACATTTCAAGCCTTCCTAATCATTTCCCGCAGAATCCATCTGACATTGATTTACGCATCAAATCGCTTCATTCCCTGCCGCGCGTCGGCTAATTACAATTAAAAGCAAAGGACAGCCAAGAGCAGGTACTTAGGATGCTTTGCAATCAGCCAGGCGCACCTTTTCAAAATATTTGATTTCATACTCCAGGATGATGCCGTTGGGTCGGTCCGGCTCCTGCCAGGAAAGGGAGATGCTATTTTTAGCTATCTTGCCTTTTTTCACAATGCTGATTGGAGACGGGGCTGCAAGACAGGAGAGAAACAAAACAAGAGGAGAGTTAGTCGGACTGCATCTTAGTTCCGCATCTAGATTCATCACTGCAATATACTACTAGAGGTCGAACCTGTCTAGTCTGGCACCCTCAGAATGTGATGGGTGGGGGAGAATGGGAGTCGGGCGAGTTTACACTGCAGTGAAGAGAAACCCAGAGACATCTGCGGGGCAGCGTGCTCGGCTTGGGGGGGGGGTGAGGTAAGAACGTTGAAACTGAATCCTGGACCTACTCCAGCCCCTTTGGACTGTCCTACCAGCTATCACCTTGGGGTGCAGAAGTTCCTTGGCTCCTTAGTCAGAGCTGACTTTAGGGCAGGAGGGGGCAATAATGTTTGATGGGGGGTAGCACTCCAAGATTTTGGGAAGTGGTCAAGGGCTACACTTTTCTATGGAGAGGGTGCAGGGTCCGGGATGCAGGTTGGGTGCAGAAGGGAGCTTGGAGTAGCGGCTGGGGGGCAGGGGAGGGTGTGAGGTCTGAGAAGGAGTTTGGGTGAAGGAGGGGGTTGTGACCTGTGGCAGGGATTAGGGTGCAGGGTCTGGGAGGGGGTTTGGATGCAGGAGAGGATTCTAGCCTGGAGGAGGGGTGCAGGGTGTGGGAGGGACTTGGGTGCAGGAAAGGGCAGGGTACCAGAGGCAGCTTCCGGCCAATAGCTCTCTGAAGCAGGCTTCCCTGCCTGCCAGCAGCTCCTGGCTGGATGTTCCCTGCGGCTCTCTGACCTGGAGGAGGGAGGGAGAAGCTTCACACACCGCCCCCACTCCCTGCAAAATCTCTCAGCACCTATTGGCCGGAAACCAGCCAATGGGAACTCAGAAATTGTGCGGCACTGGCCTGGCCCTCAACAAAATCTCTCAGCTCCTGTTGTCCAGTTTCCAACCAATAGGAGCTGAAAGATTTTGTGAGGGGCAAGGCAGTGCACAAGGACCCGCCCCTTCCTCCCTCTTCTCTCCCCCACAGCCACAGATCACCACAGGGAGCAGGGAGCTGTTTTGAGCAGCGCTGCACCCTGCCGCGGGGGACAGCAGGGCCGGATTAAAAGACTAAGCAGGTCACATCTGGCCTGGGGGCCATAATTTTGCTGCCTTTGCTTTAGGGCGTGCCTGCATGCGCTGCAACAGCAAACCCCGCAGCAAGAGAACCCAGAGCCTGCCTCACCTGACTTGGGCTCAGGACATGGGCTGCGGGCCAGCCGTTGCAGCGTTAGCTGTTGGGGTGAGGCTACAGCCGGGGCTCTGGGATTCTGCCCCCTTTCTGAGCATGGGCTCCAGTTAGCCCAATGTCTACGCTGCCATTTCTCCCTGCAGCCCACGCCCCCTGAGCCTGCGTCTATCGGCCTGGCCTCGGAGACGTGGTGCGAGGCCCTTACAGGCAGAGCCATAGCACGCTGCTGGCTGGTTAAAATCGTTCCACCTGTCGCTGCAGCGCAACCTCCGTGATGGATTGAAAAGCTGCTGTGACCACCTTTCCCATGTCCTCACTGTGCTCATGAGCATCGCTGCCGTGGGACCCTGGAGCCCACCGTGACCTGAACGGAAACGGGAACGATTTTAACAGTGGCTCCGGTGTGTATACGGCGCTTGGGGCTGGCCTTTGCCAAATTAAAGGTGAGACATCATTTTACTATTCAGCCTGCCCCAGCTCTTGGCTCTCTCTACAGCTCACGCATGCACTGCAAGGAGACTGGGATGGCTTGTTTTCAACTCAAGAGACCTGAACAACTTTTCACGTGATCCCTCCCCTGTCCCCCACCTCCAGAGAAACAAAGGCCAGGGACACCATTCCTACCTAACCTCGCTAATAGCCATTGATGGACCTAACCTCCATGAATCTAGCTAGGTTTTCTTTGAACCCTGTTAAAGTTCTAGCCTTCACCGCATCCTCTGGCAGGGAGTTCCACAGGTTGACTGTGCACTGAGTGAAGAAAAACTTCATTTTGTTTGTTTTAAACCTGCTGCCTATTAATCTTGCAAATGTTTATTCCTGGATTGGACACGATTGGCAAGCTTGTGTTTCAAAAGCAGGCTCCTAAATCTAAACTTCTTCCAGGTAAACATATTTACCTGCTATTTCCTAATCGCGCCCCCCCACCCCCCGGCTTTCTAAGGACACTGTGGAGTTCTCATTCCCACATGGTCTTTTCTGAAGAGCAGGTCTCAGCTTCATAGTCACAGCAGCTTTCTATCCATACACTCCCATTGCCCAGAATTGAACTGCTGAGGAGGTATAAGCCAGAAAGTGGTGGAAGGCCCTGATTGTGTAAACAGTTCAATAGTTTCTAAGACCCGAAAGGGCCACTCTTGTCATTCAATCTGACTGCCTACGTAACCAAGCCATAGCATTTCACCATTTCCTTCAGCCCACATCTGATAGTTGAGCTAGCCCGTGTATTTAGAACAGCATCCCATCTTGATTTAAAGAATGCAAAAGATCAAAACCCTGCCTCTGACACATGAGTGCGCTTTGGATAAAGTAATAGGCTTGTTCCAATTACTGTGTGAACTAGAGATGTGATGGTTTACCCTGTTAACCGATTAACTAGTGGGGGGGGGGGGGGGCCTACTGTGGACAGGGCTGCACCGGTATCTCAGGAGCATCTCAAAACGAACAAAGCACCATCGCCAAGGGGATAACACGCTCAACTCCAATCCCAGATGTTGTCAGATTGCGTCTTGTGCACGTTCACACTTGAAAGGCCCCCCGCCCTTGGAATTCAAAAAGCCAAGGGTAGTGCCGTGTTCTGCTAGCCACATCACTTCCATTGGCTTTGGAAACTGACATGCCTAGCTACTGCGGCGTGCTGAACGCCCCCCGGTGTAGGGCAGATCTCATTTCTAAAGCCATCCTGGCCTGAAGACCTAGCTCTGACTTTGCCATGCGCCTTTCCTCTCTATTGCGTGCGGACTTTAATTTCTGGCTGCATCAGTAACCGCAATGTTCAGCGGCGGCCAGGCAGAACGCTGGCCTCTACCGGGAAAGAGAAGCGAGAGAAGAAACGATGCAAGTGAACTCCCCAAGTAAATTAGAGAGGCAGTCACTGTATCCACTTTGGATCTTCTTCCAAAGACGTGTGAAACTGTCATCATGTGATAAAGACCAATTAAGTATATTTAATCATTCCCAGTGGTGCTGAAATGATACGGCAGCTGCTCGGCACCCTCCAACCGGCTGCAGTTGCAATGCGGCGAGCGGAGGAAGGAAAGGCTAAGTATTTCAGAGTGCTCCTTATCAAACCAAACGTGATTCAATGGGAGCCGTCAGACCAAGTCTGCAATCATTCCATCGTAAATGCCCGCCACTGGATACTGTGCTACATGATCCCAGGAAAATGAAAGGCTTACACTGAAAGTTGCTTTTTAAAGGTCACTGGTTCAGCCAGGACAATCTCCTTTTAATAAAAGAGAGCCCTACCCCACAGAAAAGTTTCATTCAGCATACACAATTCAGGATGTGTAGAAACGACAATCAATTTTGCACATAGGGGTGAGAGGGGTAGGAAGGAAGGAAATTCTTCTTGAAATCCTTGCCACGAGGTCAAAGGAGGGGATGTAAATAATACATCCTTTTGAGGCTGCTTACAAGCAAATCGGCACATGCGTGCGAACTGCAAACACAAGTCTCATACGAAAAGTGAGATATTCCATCATTTGCATTTATGGGCACTGAGCACCCAAACAATCACACATGGGATGAAGGCAGACGGAAAATGGAACCAGCTGCGAAATTGCTAATGTGCATTTTGCTTTCCCGAGTCTAAAATGAATCATAAACCCAACAACATCTCAGAAAATGGAGAGCACTTTTTTATGCTGTTTGTTAACATTTCCTTAATCGCTCTAAGTGGCCAGACTAAATGAATAAAAAGTCACTCTCAATTACCCATCATTATTCACGTCTGGATAACGACAAGGCAGGATTTCACAAGAAATAAAGGCCTTTTAGGACAGTTTTCATTGGTAACCTTTTATAATCACATTAGCACCGAATTAACCAGTGAGTCCCCAAACACAGTATCCAAGAAGTACTATACTGAGCCCTAGGAATACCTAATGCACAACAAAGTTTATGAGAATAAAATCTTAATTGTATTTTATGACGAACTAATGTTATCAGGTAAACGACCACAGAATCAAGATAAAATAATTTATCCAGGCTCTATAACTCATATTCAACATAATGCTACCCCTGTCCCCAATTAATTTTGCTTTTGTATATTTCACTCTGGGATAAACAGCAGCTAATGTTTCTTCATCTCACCGCCAGCCCTACATCTGGTACAGCTTTAGATTAACCAGGAGGGAAGGCTGGAAGGAAAACAAAAGTCCAGCTCATTCTTACTGCCCTAAGCAAGCTATTTTCCCCAAGCCAAGACCCTCATTTCACCCCTGATCTCTGTGGGTCCAAACTGTCAGTCGGAATAAAGCAGCACATTCAAGTCAATAGCAGCGTGCCAATTTACACCAATTGAGTTGGCCTCGTTTCCCCTTGTTCTCAGCTTTCCAACTACTTGGGCTTCCATTTCCTTTTAAAAGAAGATTAAAGTATCAGCAAGAAAAAAAAGATTCTGCCCTTACTGTCTTAGTATTGAAAGCCATGGTAGTCCATAGTGTATACGCAGCTAGGCTATGCACCTTAGCTTATTTTAGTCGTGTTTCGTAACTGCCGGGAATTTACTGAATCCGATTACATTTCTTTATGGGTTAACTTGCTGGGGTCTAAAATTTCAAACTTCTGAACACCTTGGCATTCTTTCCTAGCTCCCGTGCCAAAGTGGCCCAGCGGTCTGAAATCATGCCAACAGGCACAAAAGTCAGATTCATACCTAAGATTAAATCAAATCCATCCACTGTCAAGATAGAATCAAAGAAACGTGGTGTCGTTAAGACACAGTAGCAGAGGAGTCTGGCTGTAACCGGAGAAAAGGAATGTTGCAGGGTTGACAGGTAAATTAATGTTAGAGAGGAGACAAGTAAC